CGTTTCACCTTGGATGACCATATGTCACAAATGATTATGCCAAAAATCTAGGCACCAGCATAATGGGGTTTTAGTATAATTTGATAAATGTTACTGGAAATAATTGTCACCTGCAATCTGGAGTCTGTAGAATCAGCATGTTGGTCCAGATTCTGCACAGATGACATCAAACAAACTTGAACTTCAACATTATACTTCATTGCAGTTCATAAACTGCACAATGTTTACTTTCAGGAGATACGAAAGCAGATATGTAAAAAAAAATATTAACTCAAAACGCACAATATCTCTTGTACGTAGATCAAGTTCCTCGTTGACTGCCAACACAATATGCCTGGTGCGTATAACTGTCTCCTCTGATTTCTCAAGGCCCTCATCTTGATCTGCTCAGAATAAATACAGGTAAACTTTCATAACTAAAGTTGAAAATCATGGCCAGTGATAATTAAGAAAAGAGAGAGGAAATAAAGTTTAAGATGAAAGATGCAGCCACTAGCCTTTTACTGTTTGTCTTTGAAGACCAATACTACCACAGTTGTCATAGTAGTTTGTTTCGCTCATGGCATCAGCGGGCTTGATTTCTGGCCCAAGTGAATTGTCCCTATTCTTAGAGCTTGACATGTTCAATGTGGAAGCCATCTGGTCTACTTTTGATCTTAAATTTGCAACCATGTCCTCGGGACGATTCATTTCTTTATCTGTTCTGCATCCAATAAGGAGGATGTCAACAAGAAGAATATAAAGAGGTAGTGTGTTGGTCCCAGATATTACGATTTAACTTGTGATTCAACCATAATAAACCAAAATACACAAAGTAAATACAGAAAAGTAAAGAAACACAAGGAATTTTTGGCCCAAGGCACCGGAGGTTCGATGACCACTTCTAACGCATAATCCCCCGGTGAGCATCCGTTAGGATGTAACTCGAATCCACTAGAACAGCCCAAATCAGGCAAAATAGAGTTACAAAACAACAAGAATGTTCAAACTCAAGAATACAAACCAAAACCCTCAAAATTACGGCACAATCTCACTGAGAGATTAACCAAACTCTCTCTATCTTTCTATATGAAAATCACTCAGAAATTTCACACAATCTTTACAGATTGAACACCAAAGTAAAGAACGCAATCGAGAGAGCAAAAGAACTTGGGTTTCAAAATGAACGAATCATAAGCCAAAGAGTCAACCCTTCTATTTATATGAGGTAGTCAAAAAGTCTTGATCCAACGGTCAGCATTTGTCCAAGTGTTAGCCATCCAATCAAAAACGTGTTTTGATAAAACAAACAAACAAAATTCTAGAGCTTTCCATTAGGTGGGCCAGATTAGGTATTGGGCTTCAATATTGGTCTCACTTATTCAATTGGGCTCATAAATTCAGCAACCCTTACAATCTCCACCTTGCTGAATTTGAGACCAATCCTAGATGGATTCAAGCAAACTTAATTTCATTTGCTTTTATTTCCTGTTTAAAAACAAAAAGTTAGAAAGTTTCAAGATTCAACAATCTTAAAGAATCAAGAAATCTACAAATAGGGATTACCTTTGTACCTGCATCAACAAAATTTACTTTGGTGGGAATTTAACCAATTTTATATGACCGTTTTCAACTATATCTCAAATGAAATGAAACTTACATTTATGTGTTTAAATCTATCATGAAAAACTGGATTTCTACTTAAGAAAATAGCACTTTGGTTATCAGAACATAGTTCCACCTGATTTTCTACAAGTTGCAATTCATTTAATAATCTCATCAGCCACATACCTTCTTTCACTGCCTCAGTGGCAGCAATATATTCAGCCTCAGTGGAGGATAAGGCAACAAGTTTCTGAAATTGTGACTTCCAACTAATGTAAGTATTATTTATCACATCAAAATATACAGAAGTGGATTTTCTATTACCAGTGTTCCCAGCAAATTGTAAATCTACATAACCTTTCAATTTAAGGCCAGTTTTATCAGTTTTAAACATCAGTCCTATGTTCTGAGTTCCTTTTAAATATATGATCAGGTTTTTCATAGCTTCCCAATAAAGCTCACCTGGGTTGCTCATAAATCTACTTAGGACATTCACAGCAAAAGCAATATCAGGCCTAGAACACACCATGACATACATGACAGACACAACAGCATTGACATGTGGTACATTTAACATTCTTTTCCTTTCATTTTCAGTTTTAGGTGAATGATCAACAGATAATTTCACATTTCCAGACAAAGGTAAACTAACAGGTTTTACATCATGTAAAGAAAATCTTTTAACCACTTTTTCAATGTAAGCACTCTGAGTTAAAAACAGTATTCCACTAAGTCTGTCAATTTTTATTTCCATACCAAATATCTTCCAAGCAGGTCCTAAATCTTTCATATCAAACTCGAGTTTCAGTTTTTCTTTTATAGCACTTACAACAGCAGAATTATGACCAGCTAGTAGCATATCATCAACATACAATAGCAGATATAAGGATTCAAATTTTTCATCATTTTTGACATAAAAACAGGGATCAAACTCAAATAGAATCAAATATTTTGTACCATTGCCTTTGAGCCCGTTTTAGGCCATACAAGGACTTATTCAAAAGGCACACTAAGTGTTCCTTACCTTTAACTTGGAAGCCTTTTGGTTGTGCCATATATATGGTTTCATCTAAAGAACCATACAAGAAAGTTGTTTTTGCTCTAGTTGTAAATCAAATTGAGTTACAAGGGCAAGTAAAATTCTAATGGAGGTATACTTCACTACAGATGAAAAAATCTCAGTGTAATCTATGCCCTCCTTTTGTGTAAACCCCTTAACTACAAGTCTAGCATTGTATCTCCTATTATTTGATTTATATTCTCCCTCTTTAATCTTGTAAACCCACTTACAATCAATTAGTTTACAATCTTTGGGTCTTTCAACTAAGTTCCAGGTTTTATTCTTGTATAGAGAACCCATCTCTTCCTTCATGGCTTCAAGCCACTTAGTAAATTCTTTAGAGGCAACAGTCTCTTCGTAGGATTCAGGTTCTAAATCAAAAGAATCAGACTCTATCTGAGCACACACACAGTCAGCAAATTGATACCTAGGGGGAGGTCTAATTTGTCTTCTTTCTCTATCTCTAGTTAGTTGATAGTCTTGCAGGTCATGTGTAGGCTCAGTCACTTGATTATTGTCAGAATTATCATCATCGGTGATTAACTGAGGCTCAGTCCGAGGTGTCTCCACCTTAATTTGAGTTTGCACATAGTCATCTTGATTACTAAAATCAATTTCAGTGTTGGCAAAATCCTTTTTAGTGATCCTATCTACTGATTTTTCACTAAGGCAGGGAAAATCATCTTCATTAAAAACAACATATCTGCTTATAATCACCTTATATCCTCTAAGGTCTTTAACCCGAATTCTATAGCCTTTTATACCTTCACCATAACCTAATAAAACACATTTACGTGACCTAGGATCCAGTTTAGACTCTGTCTGATGAGCATAGGCTGCACATCCAAAGGTTTTTAGATGGGAATAGTCAGGAACAGATCCTGACCAAACTTGTTCAGGGACTTTATGGTCTAAAGAACTAGATGAGCATCTATTAATCATAGTCCTGCTCATCCTCTCAGCAATCTCATTGTGCTGAGGGGTATAAGTCACAATTTTGTGCCTTAAAATACCTTGACTACTACATTACTGATCAAAATTGTAGAATTCTAATCCATTGTCAATTCTCATAATCTTAATTTTCTTACCTGTCTTACTTTCTATCAAAGTTTTCCGGTCCTTAAAAGTAAGGAAAGTATCAGACTTTGATTTTAATAAGAAAATCCAGACCTTCCTAGAATAGTTATCAACAGTAAGAAGGTAACATCTAAAGCCTGAGGCAGTAGAAATAGGAGCAGGACCCCACATGTCACTATGAATGTATTCAAGGATATTTTGAGACTTATGTAGACCCGTTTTAAAGGGCAGTTTGTTCTGTTTTCCCATTATACAGTATTCACAGAATGTTAATTTCTAAACACAAACACTTCCAAAGGCACCAACCTTTGAAAGATGCTTTAAACCCTTCTCACTAAGGTAACCTAATCTTTTATGCCACAATTCTGATTTATCAATCTGTATCACTAAGTTCACATAGTTATTCATGAAAACAGATCCAAGTTTTATGGTATAAATTCCATTTATCTTAGGTGCACTGACAATGAGTTTATGATTCTTGATTATGTTGGTTAAACCATTTTTTATCTCAATCTGATATCTTTCATCATGTAATACCCCTAAAGAAATAAGATTCCTCATAAGTGCTGGAACATACCTAATATGATTCAACCTTATAACCTGACCATTTTCCATTTTAAGAACAATGTTACCAATTCCTTTTATAGGACAAGACTCATTGGTTCCTAATTTGACAAACCATCACTAAGATTTGTAAAATCAGAAAATCAACTGACATTAGGACTCGTGTGAAAAGAGCAGCTTGAGTCCAAGACCCAGTTCTGATCAGCCTTCACCACAGAGGAGACATATGCAACTCCAATATCAACATTGGTTTCCTTATAGGCAGCAGCAATGGCTGAAGTACCATTATCATGATTTGATCCACTTCCTAAGTCATTAGCTTTCTTGAAACAATCTTTTACAAGGTGTCCAACTTTCCCACAATAGTAACATTTTCTGTTTTTGGTCTTTCCTTTATACACTTTCTTATATTTTCCTCTAGTATCCCCTCATTTCTTCTATTGAAAATTTTTGTTTTTGTTAAAATTGGCTTGAGTAAAATTGCTCAAGCCTTTTGTAGAGGATCTAGGATTGGATAAGACTTTTTCTATATGAAGAGCTTCCTTATGTTAAGATTTGAGTTCGAAGTCTCTATTTCTCAGGGAATTGTGGATTATGTCAACAGTTCAATCACTCCTACCATATTCTAAAGCATTTTTAACATCCTTATACTTATCACTAAGTGCATTAAGTAGACCAACTACCTTTAGATCATCGGATTTCTTTTCCCCACAACTAATAAGGTCCTGAGTGATCTTATTAAACCTATACATATTCTCTTCTTAAGTCAGCAATAGGGTCAAACTTATGACTAAAGAACTGTTTTCAAAGAAAACATTTATTAGGTAAGGAGTTAGAAACATACAGCTTCTGTAAAGCTGCCAATAGCTCAGCAGTAGTTTCTATGTCTCATATTTTTCTAATAACAGAATCAGATAAATGAAGAAACAAAGTACTACAAGCTAATTCATCTTGTTCACCCTTCCTAACATCAGATAAGGTTTCAGGCCAAGATTCATCAAAAGCTTTAGCACATTTAAGTGTCATCAAAAGGGCCTTCATTTTCTGGCTCCAGACTTAAAGTCTCCTTTGCCATCCCAATTTTGCCATCCCAATAGCGTTCAGCAAGGAAGACATGCAAGAAACAACGAATTGTTTTAGTTTGAAAAGATCACTCACAGTAGAATATATCCAATAAAGGTACACAGCCAGAGTGTCTACACGCAGTAAACAGCAATAAGCAAATTTATGATATACAGGCGAATATATATACACTGAGTTAGAATTACATTACTGATCAAAAATTCACAGCAGCTCAATAGCAATTTATGATTATCAATTCAAGAAATCAAAAATCGTAATATACACCAAGTATATGTACAGTATGTTAATCAAGAAACCTAAATAGATTTCTTAAACCGTACCCTATTTCCTTCAGA